ACTTGGGAGGCTGAGGCAGAAGAATCACTTGAACCTGGGAAGTGGAGGTTGCAGCTAGTAGAGATTGTACCATTGAACTCCAGCCTGGGCAACAAAGACAGACTCCATCTCAAAATAATAATAATAATAATAATAATAACAATAATAATATTAACCAACTCTACATAATCATATTTATAAAGTATTACAATGAATAAAAGCACTGTTTTCAAATACAAGTGAAATATTTAAGAAAATTGATTATGCTGAGCTACAATGAAAATCACAATCAATTTCAAACGACTAAACACATGCAAATTGAGCTTCCCCTTCTGGCCCAAAATGAAGTAAAAGGGACTAGATTTACATTCCTACCTTCAACAACAAAATACCAGTCCAACTATATAAAACAATGCTTTCCAGACAAAGGGCCACTAATATTACATGTTCCCAGCAGCCAGAGTAGAAAAACCTAGAAATATACATGCATCAGGTACTCAAAAAGGTTGTCTCAGTAGTGAGGCAAAACTATTAGAGACAAAAAACTGATCTGGTTCTATCGATGATACCTTAAAACTGGTCTGGTCCTACCTATCATACCTTAAAAACTAGCTTCAAGAGATTTAAACTGTTTCCAAGTAACTTAACTGCATGTCAGAACAAAGTTCAGGAATATATAAAGGATTACAAAAATATTCAGCACTGAACAAGGTAAAATTTATAATTTCTGGCATCTAATTAAAAACAAGCATGCAAAGAAGCAGAAAAATACTTATCACCATTAAGAGGAAAAGTCAGTCTATATGGAGAAAAATGGAAGACAGCAATAGAAACTATCCAAAATGAACTAGATAGATGAAAAAGATCAAATGAACAAAACTATTCATCAGTGACCTAAAGAACTTCAACTAGCCTAAGAGATATGTAATTGGAATTCCCAAAGTGAAAGAGAGGAAATAAAGATATTTGAAGAAATAATGGCCCAAAATTTTCTAAATCTGAGGCACATTATAAATCTACAGATCTAAAAAATTCAAAGAACACCAATAACAAAGAACACAAAGGGGGAAAAAAAAGCCCTGTTGCAAGGCATATATAATCAAAATGCTTACAGCCATAAAAATAATACCTTAAATTGGGAGAAACATATTTCATTAAGAAGATAAAAGATAAGAATGACAGCAGACTTTTCATCTGAAACAATGCTAGAAGACAGGACAGCAAAACTTCTTTAAAAGTCAATCTGGAATTTTACACATACATAGAAAGTACCTTTCAAACACAAGGTAAAATACTTTGTGAGACGTATAAAAAAAATAATTCACTACCAGCAGTCCTGCGCTAAAGAAATGGTAAATAATGTCCTTGATGCTGAAGGAAAATGGTAACAGATAGAAACCGATCTACACAGAAGAATAAAGTATACCAGAAATGGTAAATAAATGGGTAATGTAAGACCTTTTAGAAATCCCCATAATTTAACCACAATTAATAACAATGTTGGGGATTATTAATTAATAACAAATCATGGAGATTCTAATATAACGTATTTCAGGAGTAAAATTTGTGACATAAAATATTACAATGGCCAGGGGAGAGAAAATGAAAGTATACTGCTTTTAAAGTTCTTAGAAGATAAAGTGTTCTAATACTACTTTAATGTAGAATGTGGTAGCAATTATATTAAAAACTCTAAAGCTACCACTAAAAAGACAAAAAATAATAAGTGATGAACCAACAAACCAGCTAAAATGGAATCACCTAAAATCATGTAAATTATGTTCTCCAACTATAATGTAATTCAACTAGAATTCAATTACTAAAATATGCACTTGGCAAAGTAGCAATATCCAAAATACAAGCACACACACACACATACAAATCAGTAAGAAGAAAGACAACTGAGCCATCAGGAGATGGATACAGAATATGAATAGGTAATTCACCAAATAGAAAACAAAGATGACCAACTAAAAAAATTCTCAATTGTACTAGTTAATATAGAAATGTATTTTAAAAACACACATACACACACACAAACAGCATTTGATATTTACCAGATTGGCAGTAACTAAAAAACAGAAAATACCAAGTGTTTATATGGCACAAACCCACAGAAGAGCATCTGTCAATATCAAATATTTAATAAGGTTAAAATGTGCATATATACCCTGATGTGAGCACAAGGAGAAATATATATTAAATGCACTACTGACACAACTAAGAATTGAGAAGGCCCTAAATGCCCATCAATAGAATAATAAATATATTTCTGAAACAGATTATTATAGAGAAGTTAAAATAAATAAACCAAATCTACATTTATCAACATGAACCTCAAAAGTAAACAAACAGGTATATTTCAAAAGGATAACTACAGTATGAAACCCTTCATATAAACCTCTAATTTATTTATTTTTATGTTTTGAGATCGAGTTTCGCTCTGCTGTCCAGGCTGGAGTGCAATGGCGCGATCTCAGCTCACCGCAACCTCTGCCTCCTGGGTTCAATCAATTCTCCTGCCTCAGCCTCCCGAGTAGCTGAGATTACAGGCATGAGCTATCATGTAAGCTAATTTTTTTGTATTTTTAGTAGAGACGGAGTTTCTCCATAGAGCTTCTGCACAGCAAAAGAAACTATCATCAGAGTGCACAGGCAACCTACTGAATGGGAGAAAAACTGTGCAATCTACCCATCTGACAAAGGTCTAACAACCAGAACTATAAGGAACTTAAAATAAATTTACAGTAAAATAAAATAAAATAACCCCATCAAAAAGTGGGCAAAGAATGTGAACAGATACTTCTCAAAAAAAGACATTTATGTGGCCAAAAAGCACATGGAAAAAAGCTCAACATCACTGATCATTAGATAAATACATATCAAAACCACAATGAGATACCATCTCACATTAGTCACAATGGCAATTATTAAAAAGCCAAGAAACAAGATGCTGTTGAGGCTGCAGAAAAATAGGAACGATCACACACATCTTTAAGCGTGCCTATTATGAAGTGGTCCAGAGAGCCTCTCTCTTACCACCTTCTTTGGGGGTGGAGGGGTTAAAAATTACAGTTTTCTCCTAAAGCAGAAAAGAAAGAATCATTAGCTGAGTTACCTAGGAAGGAATCAGGGATTCCGACTTGCAACCAATCATTCTGTTGTGAGCCTTTACTCTAACAGCTATCTGATGGTCCCAATCCCAGGGCCTCTGCTTCATAATATAAATAGGGTCAGTTCTTAGCTTTCTCCCTATTGCTGGTTTAGCATTCAGTTTCCTCAGATCTGCTAATCTATTACCTTTTGTCCATCTGTTTCATAGCTTACAAAATACTCCTGAAAATGTATCTTCTCTCATTTTTATTTTTTTGTATCTTTAAAATCCCTAATTTACTGTCATTTTCATCACTTCCAAAGGGAGCAAGGTAACTGACTATGTTCAATCTCTCATAAAAAGATATTTTAGGGCTGGGTACAGTGGCTCACGCCTATAATCCCAGCACTTTGGGAGGCTGAGGTGGGAGGATTGCTTGAAGCTAGGAGTTTGAAACTACTGTAGGCAATATAGTGAGACCTGTATCTATAAAAAATAAAAAATAAAAATAAACTAGTCAGGTGATTTAAAAATAAATTAGTGGTCTGGGTGGGAGGCTGAGCCAGGAGGATCACTTGAGCCAAGGAGGTGGAGGATGCAGTGAGCTATGACTGTATCACTGGACTCCAGACTGACTGACAGAGAGAGCCACTGTCCCTTAAGGAAAAAAAAATCTTTTATATCATTTATCACTATGTGAAAACACCTGCTTTACTGATTTATTTCACACTCACACTCACACATACACACACACAGCAGAACTCTATCTTGTCCACAGCCCTTAACACAACCCCTGGCACACAGTAGATGCTAATAGAAAACTATGGTTAAAACCAACAGGAATTCCCATGAACCCCACCTCCCAAGCAGATACAGCATAGGAAACAACTCATTTTGGCTGGGTCAACCCGACACACCTTTCTCCTACTAGAAGATCCCCACCATAGTCAGTGGGATCCAGATCCAAGCTAAGTTAATAATCTAGCCACAGAAATTTTTAAACTGCAGTTGGAAAGAAAAGCTCCCTATCAAAAAACATATATAAAAACCAACAGTACAAATGACATTATTATCCACCATGTGATTAAACAAAACCTATGAGAAAAGAAAATCAGAGCTGTCCCAATCAAACAAGCACAAAGGGGCATGAAAGAAAGACTCTCAACAACATTCAAATCCCTAATCTCATGTTCTTGTAGTCTTCCAGAGAAGCCATGGTTCTAATCTTCTCAAAGTTTGGTTGTTTAACTATTCCTTTTTGTATGTATGTGTTACTCACTCCCTTACTGTCTCAGTAAATATCTCCTTTATGTTTAGCCTCAGGATAGTATTTGCTTATGCTAAGGTGTATGTTGCTTACAATGTATCACACTCCATTTCCAATACTTGGAATTTCACACTTTACATTTTTAACATTTATGTAAAATGAATGGAATTTTACATCTCATTAAATGAAATAAGATGTATTTAGTAGAGATCTCTTTAAATGCTCTTAGTTATGTCACAGACTACTATTGCTACCAATGGACACCTGCTTAAACAATTTTATGTAGATAAAAATAATCTCAATTTCTCCTCCAAATCTCACATATGAAGAGGGAACGATATGGCAAGGAAGATACTCATTGGAAGACAAATGACTAATGAAACTATTTTTTACGAAAATGAAACTTTACTTTTTTGAGATTTTTAACACTCAACTTTTGTTAATAAAAACTGGTCACTGCAAATAAGTTATATTGTATGGAAGTTAAGTTAAAAAAAGAAGGAATCTAGCAGAAGTGACACTTTGTAGCTGTTTCTAGCTGAGTAAAACTGAATGAATTGGTGAAGCTATCCTATTATTTTTAAACATTTCAGATTTGTTTCATTGCATTAAAGTTCATCATTTAAAATACAGGTATTTTTAAGTTTAGCTACCACTTACTGCTTCCAGTTGTTTCTTCTTCTGCACTAGTAACTCCAACATAAGATTGACATTGGCCAAATCAAGGTTATCTTGGTCAGTTCCCAACAGGTCTTGAAATATCTGCCACCTGTGGCCATTCTAAAAAATGAAGAAAGAAGAAACACAACAACTTCCTAAGAAGACTGTTTTAGAGACTAAAACAAATGTTTATTTGCTACTTACAAATAGGCTCATTGCATAGAGAGTGAAAATAACACCGTAATGTTCTAAACTACCCCTTCCTATCTAGTGGCTTCTTACTGTCTTCTGGTTATAACCTAAACACTATTTCTTCTCCCTTGAATGAATTTAGTTAACAGATAACAAAGGTGCATTCAAGACTATTCTAAAGCTGTAATTTACCTTCAAAATAAAAGACTGAATGTAATTATTCGTCTAGCCATATTTTCAGTTTTGCATGTAGCAAGGTATTAAGCTCATTTGCCTCAATAATTTGGGACGAATCCTTTAAAATTGAGTTGAAACTCTAACAAGAGGTTTGTTCTTGTTTTTGTTTGACTATAGACTGTCGCTATGTTGCCCAAGCTAGTCTCAAATTCTTGAGCTCAAGTTATCTTCCCGCCTTGGCCTTTCAAAGTGTTAAAATTATAGGCATGAACCCAGCCTCAACAGTTATTTGAAAATATCTAACCATTGTTTCACCACGCAATACAATCCTTCAAATGTCAAGTATTAAAAGTCAAATGTTTCAACATAATCTTACAAGACCTTTCAAAACAGAATCACTCTAGTAAAGTATTACAGACAATGCAGTCAAGAAAGTTATTTATTTGAACTGAACAATCCTAAAGAAATCTCCTTTAAGGAAAATCAATAATATACTAAACTTTAAAATCTGGGTAATATTAAACCAATAAAAACAACAAAATGAAATGTATTAAAAATAGTAATAAGAGTTGAAACATACGGTGCTACTCACTGAGTGGTCCAATTTGAACCTCTTTTCCTCACATCTTTGCTTCTGTTTGAGAATGAGCTCATTCACTGAAAACAGAAACAAAATAAAAAGCATACATAATTTGTATTTTTGTTAAATGTATCATTCAATTAGGTTTAGACAGATTCTATTTTACCTATACAAAGCCCCCAAATTAAAAATATGCTAAACGGAAAATGTCAGCTTTTTATTTCGAATTAGAAAACGGTTTTGCTGCAGCTGCTACTACTACAACTACTATTACTATAGAAGGATTCTTCAGAATACATATCTTCCCTTACATGTTTCTCGATGATGCTACTGGCACTTAAAAAGAAAGAATTCCTCATTTACCATGTGAGACCATCATAAATATGACCCATATGGTAACAAGGCACGAGTAACTATGATGAGTTACACACTTAAGGCTTGCGTTTGTTCTTTTTCTTTGTAATTTTTCAATAAATAAAACAGAAGACCCTTTTAGTTACCTAGCCAAAAGCCATCCTACCCTTTTTCTTGATAATAACATGACTTTTTTCCAAGTATGAGACTGCTATATAACTTTCAGAGAGGTTAGAACCAGCCCCAACCCACATATTACTCTAAGGCAATCTAGTCATTCATGCCCTTGCCAGTGGTTGATGTGGGGTTAAGTATGTAACCCAATTTTGACCAATAGGACATGTGCTTTCTTTCAGAAAGAAAAGAATAGGAGAAAAACACCTGCCTTCATAAGGGGATGAGATCTGGAACTGCTTCGAGCCATCTTGCAATCTCAAGAATAGCCAGCTAAAAGACCAAGGTATATGCTGGCAATGGAAGAATAGAACAAGAGAAAGAACCTCACCAGACCACTGAACCACTGGTAACTAGCTCTAGAAATTCTTTCCCTGTGAATTGACACATTTTCCATAATGTTTAAAACACTTTAAATTGTATTTTTCTACAGCCAACAAATATAAAGTGATACAAAAAACTGATTTTATTTTTTTAAAGAGGAAACTAGCACTAGACTAGGTAGGCACTTCATAGGCAATATCTTACAGATTATTCTGCCCAGTTAGAGATGAAGAAATATTAGCACAGAGAACATAAGGAACTAATGCATGGTGACATATAGAATGAAAAAGTGCTGAGAATACAGACCCAACTGTCTGATACGTCCCACTATACCACAATGCAAGTATAAATATTTTTGAAAACAACAGATACCAAGCTCATAAGCATGCAAGCTTCAAAGACAGAGGCCCAAGGCCTCAAGCAACTCAGACTAGCAAGACAGATGTATATGATACAGTCCTCGCAATATAATACGATAATAGTACTGTCATTAAAACAGATTTACAAAGTGTACATGCAGAGATCAATCAAAATGTTAACAAGCATACTTCATATAGAAGGCAACATTAGAATTGGAAAATAATAAGCACACAAAGATTAAGCAAAATTAGGAGTGAAGAAAAATTCAAGAGAGAGAGAGAGAGAGAGATCAATATAGTAATCCCAGCACTTTGGGAGGCTGAGGCGGGTGGATCACCTGAGGTCAGGAGTTTGAGACTAGCCTGCCCAACATGGTGAAACCCTGTCTCCACTAAAAATAGAAAAATTAGCCCAACATGGTGGCACATGCCTGTGGTCCCAGCCGACCTCGGAGGCTGAGGCAGGAGAATCACTTGAACCTGGGAGGCAGAGGTTGCAGTGAGCTGAGATCATGTCACTGAACTCCAGCCTGGGCGACAGAGCCAGACTCCATCTCTAAATAAATAAATAAATAAATAAATAAATAAATAAATAAATTCAATCGATACAGCTAAAACAAGGGTCATATTTATTTTGTGAATGATTCACAGGGATTAAGAACTAAGCCTGGAAATGTAGGCAGATCAGAGCCAGATTGTGAAGGGCCTGAACTCCAGGTATCTTACACAAGAAGAGTTATTATAATCCAGATAAAGCATGAAACAATGCAGTGGGAATAAAAAGGAGTAAGTTAATAAGAAGATAATGTCCCAGCTATGAATTTAACCATTTGAAGAAAAATAGTGACTGTTAGATACTTTAAATATGCCACATTGAATTTTACCAAGGCATCTTACATACCATTATATTTGATTCTCAACAATAATACTGTAAGATCAAGCTTTCTTTTTTCAAGAGCACCCCTGTTAACTAAAGATCAAGCCTGTAATCATTTATTTATTTTTTGAGACACAGTCTGGCTCTGTCACCCAGGCTGTAGTGCAGTGGCACAATCCTGGCTCACTGCAACCTCTGCCTCCCAGGCTCAAGCCATCCTCCCACCTTAGCCTCCCCAGTGGCTAGGACTATAGGTGCTCACCACCCCACCCAGCAAATTTTCGTATATTTTATAGAGACAGGATTTCGCCATGTTGTCCAAGCTACTCTTGAACTCCTGGATTCGAGTGATCCGTCTGCCTTGGCCTCCCAAAGTGCTGGATTGCAGGCATGATACACTATACCCAGCCAAGGTCAAATCCAGCCGGTAAAGGCCACAAAATTAAATTGCAAAATAAAGTTACAGCAAGTGAAGTCAAAAAGAAAGTGTAAACGCCGGGCGCGGTGGCTCAAGCCTGTAATCCCAGCACTTTGGGAGGCTGAGGCGGGTGGATCACGAGGTCAAGGGATCGAGACCATCCTGGTCAACATGGTGAAACCCCTTCTCTACTAAAAATACAAAAAATCAGCTGGGCATGGTGGCGCATGCCTGTAATCCCAGCTACTCAGGAGGCTGAGGCAGGAGAATTGCCTGAACCCAGGAGGCAGAGGTTGTGGTGAGCTGAGATTGCGCCATTGCACTCCAGCCTGGGTAACAAGAGCGAAATTCCATCTCAAAAAAAAAAAAAAAAAAAAGTGTAAACAAACAATGTATTAACTGGTTTGCCATACCATATAAAGACATTTAAATTCTATATTTAACAAACTTTTTTACTACTGTATCAGATTTTTCATGGAGCTACTTGAAAAAAATGATTTTTTTTTTTCTTCTTTAAAAACTGTATCTAGGCTGAGCACAGTGGCTCATGCTTGTAATCCTATCACTTAGGGAGGCTGAGGGAGGCAGACAGCTTGAGCCAGGAGCTAGAGACCAGCTTGGGTAACATAGCAAAACCCTGTGACTACAAAAAATACAAAAATTAGTCAGGCGTGGTGGTATGTGCCTGCAGTCCCAGCTATTCAGGAGGCCAAGGTGGTAGTACTGCTTGAACCCAGGAGGTTGAGGCTGCAGTGAGCTGTGATCACAGTACTTGAAAGATTTAACACAAAACATTCCTTAAAATGCAAGGAATATACAGTGGACTCAACATTCAAATGTCAATATATAAAAGTCATTAGAGTCACACATTTAGTGGGAAAATCCTTTCAAAACTATGCCACAACTTACAAACAAGAATGGCAAAATGGTGAATTCCATTTCGTAACTTTGAAAATTTATTTAAAAACCAATGCTCACCTGTTAGCAAAAGACATCAGCTAGCATCTTATTTATACTATAGATTAAAGTATTTAATGATCAATGACTGTTCTGTCCACCATTGTGGTCTCTGACACATAGTAGGCACCTGATATTTGCCAAATAAATAAATAAATTAATTAAACCTTGATGACATGCTCCAGGATTTTAAGTGTGACATGCTATGTTTAGCTAATACTTTCCTATTTCCAATTAATATAAGCATTTATTTGATACTATCATCAATTCTTAGAACTGATACCTAAACCTAAGGATGGTTTATATATTTGTAATTATCATTCTACAGAGCCTTACAACATCCACAGTACTAATAACAAACATTTTTTAATACTAAGAAAAGTGCATTTTAATGCAAAAGACTCCATTCCAGCAACTGCTTTTTTAGAGGCAGAACAGTACAGTAAAAGCACTGATGCTTGAGCCAAATTCCCTAAGACCAAACTCTAATTCCACCACTTTGTCTATATAACTTGACACAAGTTACTCAACCTGTCTATGCCTTAGTTTCCTCACCTAAACAATGAGGATAAAAGCAGTACCTATCTCACAAGTCTGCCATAAGGATTGAGTTCATGTACATACAGCATTTAAAACAGAGACTGACAGTAGTAAGGACTTTTATATACATAAGCGATTTTTTAAACAGGGATTTTATACTTTGCACGAATGTTGTGTTTTTTATTAGTAGGTAAGAGGATTATTCATTAGAGAGGTAAGAAAATTCAATTTACAATTTTTTTTTTAAACAGAGTCTCACTCTGTCACCCAGGCTGGAATGCAATGGCGCAATCTTGGTTCATTGTAACCCCTGCCTTCTGGGTTCAAATGATTCTCCTGCCTCAGCCTGCCCCGAGTACCTAGCATTACAGGTGCATGCCACCATGCCCAGCTAATTTTTTGTATCTTTAGTGGAGACGGGGTTCCTCCATGTTGGCCAGGCTGGTCTTCTGACCTCATGATCCGCCCACCTTGGCCTCCCAAAGCGCTGGGATTACAAGTGTGAGCCACTGTGCCCGCCTATAAACTTTATACATAGAGAAAGGCAGAGAATAAGACAGCTGGGTCGGTAAGGGGAGTGGGGCAGGGCGTGGTGGGGAGAAAGGAAGGAAGGAGGGAGGGAGGAGAGGAGAAAGGAGGGAGGGAGAAAGACAGGGAGGTAGGGAGCGAGAATGGCAGAGAAAAAGACAGCTGGGTGGGTAGGGGGATGGGGGAAGGAAGGGAGGAGGAAAGGAGGGAGCAGGGAGGGAGAAAGACAGAGGGAAGGAGAAGGACAGGGAGGGAGGGAGGGCAGGAAGGAGACGAGGAAACAGGCAGGGAAGGAGGGAGGGGGAAAAGCAAGGAGGGAGTGGGGAAAAGCAAACAAGCAGGGGAGCTTAGAAAGCAAACTTTAGCAGGAGTGGAGGAATACACCTGCAGAGTATGTATACAGGGGGTGGTAATGAGAGTACACCTGTAGAGTATGCATACAGGGGGTGGTAATGGGAGTATACCTGCAGAGTATGTAGGGGGTAGTAATGGGAGGGGGTGGTAATGGGGGCTCTGACTTCTAGCCATTACCCGAATAAGCCTTTC